AGATGGAAGGAGTAATTATCAATACAAAATTTTCTAAAGGCAGATCTCAACAAAAATTCTATTAAAAAAATTAAGAAAAAGCTATTCCAAACTCAACTAAATTCCAAACTCAACTAAATTCCAAACTCGCCTGCCACATATACATACATATTATACAGCTGAATATTGGACAATGACCGAAAAACTCACTGAAAGAATTTTTGCCTATTAGAATATTTCTATTATTTTTGCTCTCTTATGGAGATTATACCGAATCAGGATAAGTGTATTAGCTATCACAATGTATAACGGCCACAATTCAAATCGAAAATAAATCTGTTTTATATCTGTCATCATAGAACGGAAAATATACCATAGGTATAACATTGCCTTAAATTCTAAAATAATTTACAGTAGATTCTCATAGAAATTAGTTTCTTCGACTACTTTACTCTTGGTAAAAAATTTTTTTTTCTCAAAGTTTATTTCTAATATTTTCTTTTTTTTCAGGATGAAGAACAATCACAATTTCATGCATGCGATAAGTGAATTAGCTTTAAAAAAATGAAATCTTAATCTACAAATTCAGAAAAAGACATAAATTTCAGTTCAAAGGTCGATCAGACACCCTGTTTTCGCTGTGCGTACGAAAAAGAAAGAATTCTATGAAAATAGAATTTCGGGTCTTCATCATGTTTTGTTCTACAATCTTTTAGTATTCTTCATCTTTGAAAGATGATTTGTATTTCGCTATAAATGATAAATAAAATATATTTACATAGAATGTCTTGTGTTTTCAGATAAAACAAATCCAGCCACTTGAAAGTTTCAACAGAAACATATTCATTCTGTATACAACTCATTCATTTTAAAATCATTGTTTAATCCATTGTGGATGTTGTGGATCGTTAGCTATCATAGATTTAAATAAAGTGCAGTCGTTCAATTTCATGAACATAGGAAAATGATGGATGATTTAGTGCACCAACAATAATCACTAATGCAAGTACTGAAGTTCCAAATCTACGCTTTTCACCTACCATAAATATCTTATTCATTTAACAGACAACAACAGTCAAATTAGAAGAAAATTTCTTTTCATAAAATATTAATTTTAACATTTTCGATTATTTTATAATAAATGGTTCGATTTTAATTGTTATTTATGAGTAACATAATAAATAAATAAACTTCTATTTTGTAATTGATTGATTGATTTCAACTAAAATATCTTTAACTATTTTTGTTTCCTTCTTTCTTTTCTTCCATCGCTTCTATCGTATACGATAAAAAGTCAGTATTAGAGGTTTTCTGCATAGTAACATATTAGATCTAGTATAGAATTATGGCGAATAATAAAATGATAATGAATCTAGATAATGATGATGATAATTTCAATTCAAAAAAATCTTTTAATATTCATGAATATTTAAAAGAACATCCACTATTAGCAGGAATAATTGTTAAAAATGAAATTCTATTCGAATGCCATGGTGAAGCACCTTCACCATCAAAAGATTATGGTCAAATAGAAATTAATTTAGATCAAGTAATTTTGTTAATTCGTTCGTTTTTTTTCTTGCTATAAATATTTATTTTATTTAAAAGATTATTATTCGATGGTGGAAAATAACTCTTCGCAATATAGAAGGTTCAATTTATCCAGGTCAAATTAAAGATTCTTATGAAGATTTTCTTTACAACAAAATAGCTCATCATGAAATAAATCGAATATTTGGAAAAAAAATTGTTAACTATTGTTTAAATATTGTTTCTGGTCAAATTGATTTATTTAAATATTTACCATTGAATATTCAAATAAAAATATTTTCATTTATTAATATTGATGATATTCCACAGATATCATTAGTATCAAAATTATTTCGTTTAATATCGCGTCATAATGATCTTTGGAAAATATTTTATATACGTCAACATGGGAAAAAAATATTGAAAAATAAATATTTTATTAATTTAGTTCAAATACGTGGTTGGCGTTATCTCTTCTTTACTAATAAATTAAAGTTACAAATGGAATTACGTCGGCAGGCTTTATTAGATGTGTATCAACAACAGCAACATTCTTTGGATTTGATTAATAAACAAGAACATAGACAACAATTTCTATTCAATTCATCATCAATATTAAATCAAGACGAACAACGACAATAAAAATAAAAATTTTAAATATTAACATAAAATTCAATTTTTATATTCACTATTTAATTGTTATGTGTGAATGTGTGTTTATTCAATACAAATAAGTCTTTATTTATCTTTTCTCTTTAAACTTACGTATAGAAAATAATTTTTATGAAAAATTTAATCAAAAAGAAAACATAAATATTATGTTTAATAAATCCTATTCAATTTTTTAGGATAAGAAAATAAAAATAAATGTTGAACATGATTTATTATGAATTCTTTTGTATAAAAGAACCAAATACTGTTTACACAAATAGAATTCAAACATTTCGAAAAACTACTTTAAAGATATACAATCGCAACACATTATTATTATTATTCTGTATATAACATAATTGCATTATAATTTTCAATTTAATAAAGATGATATTTCCATAAGTTGACAATTTTAATGAATTAAATGAGAATTCATTGGTTTATGTATGTTATGTATTCCGGTTTCAACAAAAAAGAATTGTTAATCATATCTCAATCCAATAGAGATTATATTTACATTTTTGTAAGTAGATAGTATATATCCAACAGTAGAAAATACAATGTGAGAACATAGAAAACAAATACATATTTAGATTTATTTTACAGTTGATTTTCTGTTTTTCGCTGTTCTTTTTAAATAAAATAAAAGAGAAAAATCTCAAGTAAATATTTTGAAAGAAAAATATTACATAAATGATTTATTTGAATAAATCAATGTTAAATTTGGATTATTATATTTGAATTTATTAGCAATAAATTCTAATTGTTGATGATGAAAACGATTATATTGCATATATAAATACGAAAGTGTCATAATATTAAATATATCTTTTGGTAAGTTCTCTAAATAATTATTATTCAGATTTAACCAATAAAGATTTTTAACATAACGAATTCTTGTTGGAATTAATTCAATTCGATTGATGTCAAAATAAAAATATTTTTTATAACTATTTTCATAACCTAAAGTTTCAATGCCAACAAGATTAATAAGATAATTATTTGACATATATAAATTAGTTAATTGAGATAAATAAAGTGGAAGACGATCAATTGAGCAATGTCTTACATCTAAGATTTTAAGTGATTTTAAACCATTTAACATTTGAATTGATCGAAGTTGACGATTATTTTTTAAATTTATTTTTGATAATAAATGAAGATTTTTAATAGTGGATGGTATATGAATTAATTTATTATTCGGTAATGATAAAAAACTTAATGAAGATAAATTTCCAATTTGATTTGGAACATTAATTAAATTGATATTTGATAATTCTAATGTTTCAAGACGAATCAATTTTCCAATTTCTTCAAATATATTTTCAATAAAACAATCATAAATACCTAAATGAATCAGTGATGATGGTAAATATTTCATATGAACAAGAATTCCTTTTTTCATATCACAAAAACTTGTATTTCGTATATCTAATTTTATTAAATATTTTAAGCAATTAATTATTGATGGAACATAGATTTGATAAGCAATATTAATATAAAAAATTGAATGTTCTTCATTCATTAATGCATAAGTTTTTGTAGAATATTGAAATTCTGGATTTAATTGAACTAGATAAGGAAAAAAATTAATTATTTCATAATCATTTACAAATTGAGAACAATCAAACATTAGCTTTTTTTCTAAAATAAATATCAGTTTTATTTTATTTATTTTATTTATTTATTTCATAATTACCTGTTTCACTTTCATTTAGATTTACACAAACATTTAAATGAATTTCTTTTACATTTACAAATATTATCAAGAAATTGATTAAATTGATTTTATTGTTTAGTTTTATAATCATCGTGTATTTTAGTTTTAAATTTTATTCCAAAATCTATATATAGCACAGATTTAAATCATTAAACGAATTCTAACAAGTTTCGATCTTCTTTAATTAATATTCTTTTTCGATAGATTTTTCCAACAGAATAGATTGATATTTGAAGCATCTACATTAGATTTCTAAATTTATGTTATGCTAGAATTACGCTTTTGAATCTCTCATAGTCATAGCGCGATAGAGGTTAAATCAAATTTATAACAACTCTTTCAGGTATTTGTGAGGATTTTCCCGTCGTTTCTATCAGAGTACTGAAAATTAAAGGTATTAGTGTTCAAAAAAGATTTACAACTTTGAATTTCTCAAATATAAGAAGAGAAAAATACGTGAGTTAATGTATTTTTTCTGTTCGTCATTTTAATTCATCATTTGTTTCAATGAACTAGGTCACTTTTATACTGTTTACTTGTATTTTATTCTAGTAGATATTTACTATTTCTCTACTAATTGATTTTAGAATCGTGATTTATTTTCAAATCTCGAGGATGTTAGCTATATCTATTTTTTAGTTGCAGATAAACACCTCACATTCTAGGATAGATGCTGTAAAATATCAGTCAACCGTACTTAAAAATGCATATGAAAAAAGATTATTACCTGGAAAGGATCTAAACTTCTTAAAAAAAGATCCTTTATATCCTAAAAAATAATTGATGCAGATGCTTTTCCCATTTAAATGCCGCTATGTAGAGAGATACTAACAAACACAAATCAAAAGTTTTCTTTCAACAAAAAAATCATTCATTTATCAAGAAAAAAAGAGAGAAGAACATTGAAATATTTGTCTCTATCGTGTATATATTTTTCCATTTCGAACTTATTTAACGAATGAAACCAAATTGATTTTTTTCAAAGATTAAACTGATATAAATATTGAAAAGATTTATCGTTAAATTTTTTAGCCACGTTTTCACTGTTATCGTTTATTTATATCAATAGCAATAGAAATGCAACAAGCCTATTGTACAAATATAGTGAAAAAAAATTATTATATAGGCAGTCAATGCACAATATCGACCATAAGATACACTGAATTGAGCAAGACTTGTTCGTTAAAATTTATCTTTTATTATCTATATTTGTTGGTTGATTATATGAAATAATTTGAAACTGTAACTTGTTTTTCTGTTTTAAATAAATTTTTAAACACATCAAACATCACCAATAAAATGATAATATACTTAACAATTCTAGAAAATGTTGATCAAATCGATATGATCATCCAAGTAAATAATACCCGTTGACAGCCTAATGTATTTGAATTGAATTCATTAAAAGAAAAGATTAAATCAATATATAGATTGTAAATTTTGTCTTCAAAGAGAATGAATAACGTTCTTAATTGATGTACTGATGACGAACATACATTAAAACATATCGTATGCTAGTCTGTTTCTTTGTAAAGGCGCTTTTCTTTTCTTTCATCTATCTTTCAACTTGCCTTTGTTAAATAATAATTCGTCTTCTATTCTTTTTTCCTTTTCATCTTTTTATCTTTTTAATCTTGTTGTCTTTTCTATCTAAAAATTCGCATACAAACAAATCTTATTAAATAGATAAACATTTGACACTCCTTCTCTAATGAGCTTCATCAATAATAACGAGCAAAAACAAGCAAAACAAAATTATCGATACATTATTCCAATATGCATTTGATATATTTTGACAAATCATTTTTTTCTATACGTAACAATTGTTCGGCATCGATATCGAATTATGATGCTTGACTACTATGATTAATAATCATTAAAATTATTTTCAATAGAAAAGAATACAAAATGAAAAATGTTCAAAGCGATCAAATAATATCAGACGATTGAAAAAATTGATATGAGTGAAAAATAAAAATCTATGCTCATCTTATTAGAGGGAAATCAAAACATTTGTCTATTTTATACTACGGTTGATAATATGTTTGTTTTTTTGTCATTGTGCTAAAAATGTAGGCACTCAAGATAAAATACTTTTTCTTTTATGCGTATAGAGCATTGACAAGGTAACGTATTCAGATTGATTGTTTATTTTAAAATTTTTATCTTAATGAAATAATAACTTCGAAAAGGATCTCAAATAATATATTTATTGAATTGAAGCGACGAAAAGTGAAGATTTGAAGCACTATCAGTTAAGTACACTTTGCTGTTGAAAGTGCTGTTTTATATAAATAGTTTTTGAATTAAATTCAATGTTACTGTTGATAGCTATGAATGTGGCTCTGACTCAAATTATTGCAATTCGATCTTTTCATTGAAAGTAAGACTATTTTCGAAAAGAATTACGTTCTTATTAAATTGAACTGAACCTTATATGAGTTAATGAGTCTGAATTTCTTACATTTCAAACGAATCATCGAATGTTATGAAACGTATGTATGCCACAGGAAATAGGATTGAAATCAAAGAAACAATTGAACTCAAGAATTTTGAAAATTTTATAAGAAATTCGGATTTGTTAGTTCAGAAAACTTTTAGCCAATATAAACAAAGAATCGAAGAAGAGAAAACAAACTGATAAGATTGAATATAAAAAATCGATTTGAACAACTATAAAATAAATTACTTTACAAAAAATCCTGAACGAAAAGTCAAATTTTTGAAATTATTTTACACTTTTTCGAGTAACTGGTGTCCATTGGAATATTTCTCTTGTATTATATATATATTATCCATTATAGGATTATGTATCGCACTAATATTACATATTGAATCCCATTAGCTGATTCATATAGGAATAAACATAATAAGATTTAAAGAGAACACGAAAATTTTAATGATAATTTCTCCACAATAAATAAAGGGGTTAACTAGATTATTAATAATTAGTCAGGTCATTTGAACAACTATCATTACCAGTACGGTTTATTTCTCTAAATCATTCATAACATGTAAAAATTTTATCAGATTTTTACTTTCGAATTTTCCATAGATATTTTTTCATTCTTATTTGATCATGATTTTCATACGTAATCATTATTGATTTTAAACTTTATTTAAAGAAGATCTAAAAAGAAACATGAGGCATATTATTTTTAAATAGTAAAAATTAAAGAAAATCATTAGAAAAGAAAAAAATTAGATTGAGATATTTTAATAATTAATATGAACAAGTTATTAACTCAGTATTTTACTAAAAATGGTTTTACTAAAGAATTTTCGTTTTGAATAATTGTCAAATTCTACGAATTCACTCGACATAAACTAATTCAAATCATAGTTTAAAGATTTGACAATGATTTCGAATGTCGATCTTATTACATATATATAATATTATCGAATAGATTAGATATATTTCACGATAAATAGAGAATATGGAACAATGATCTCAATTTTACTATATTTTTTTCATGTAGTTGATAAAATTTTCAATAAGATCATAATTACATTTCAATCAATTAATTAAAATTAAAATTCAATTTTTATTTGAATCATTCTTAATCCTTCTATAATTGATATTAGTTAATGATGTTGATCTCTCTCATCTTTTAAAATCGTTTTTATTCTTTTATTCAATGTACATATATATAATTATTATTTCATAATTGATTCATTTAGTTCTATTTATTCTTAATAAAATATGTTTCATTTATGTTGCTATATTTGACTAAATTTGTCTATGATTCAATTAGAATTTTATGAAATTATTTTATTTCTTTATTTCTAGATTAATATTATCTGAATAAAAATCTATTTCAACAATAATTTACATTAGTTTATTTATAATCAATGGTGAACGATAAATTTATTATACGTGTGAAAATTTTATGTTAAACATATTTCCTATTCTACCTGAAATCATGGTTGGTTTTGTTGAGATCTATTTGGGATCAGTGCAATCTGAGTTCGAGTCGATCGTTTGGAAAATCGTGCCAAGAAAAACGCGAATCTCTGTTTAAGACATCGTACATCTGGTAAATATGTAAAAACTTATTTTAGCAAAGAGAAATCTAATTTAAACATTTTAAAACTTTGATTCATCATAAAAACCCAATATAATACGTTTTTCCTCAGTTTTTGTGTCTAAACGAATTAAAAATCAATTTAGAATTTACTCGTCTGCATATGGATGGGTATCCTCACTGTAACGATTAATAAGACTCTGTTGAGTTTATATCGTATTGACAAACTGGATAGAGATGGAGTAGCTTACAGCCACTCACGGCAATGATGTTTATTCGTTTATTCACATATCCAGAGTGTAACGACAAAACTAGAGAGTGTCGCCTATGTCCGTCGGCATGATGGTGTATTGTGTCATCTGACATCTCCAGAGTGTCCCAACTTCATACATAACACACGTATATATAGGAGAGAGATAGAAGAGAGACAATAGAGAAAGATATTAGAACAATGGAAAGAGAATAGAAGGAAGAGGAAGGAGAATCATCGAAGCGTGCCATCAATATCGGCACACCCTCCCACTCAGATCAGACGCGCTCCTGAGCGTCTTTACAATATCAGAAAAAAACACTGCGATGAAACACTATCGTAACAGAATATAGAAAAAATTGATAATTTTGAACATTATCCCACAATAAAAAGTCGGATACACACGACATCAATCATTGACACTATTACAATCGCTTGAACATTTTTTTTTTTTAAACTTAAAAAAAAACGCAAGTCACAACTACGGATAGATACTTAAGCCTAGTGCATATATAATGCTGAAAAGAGTTTCTTTTTTCATTCCATATTCAGAGTATCTTAGCACGCCACATAAAAAAAATTATTAATAATAAATAGCTGAACATCACAGCGATAATCAAAGAACACATTAAAGAGTT